AGCTGCTATCCTTGGTCATCCATCTTCCAGTACTGACACTGATCCTAGTCCACAACCTCCAACTTCATGAAGGGGAGGTTCTTTCTTTGCTATTTTTTTTGTGTATTACTATTTTTGGTTAATGACGTAGTTTGCATATTCTAGCATTACTACGCATGTTTTTTTTGTATTGATTATGTTTCGAGCTCAGCTGAAGCATGAATAAAATAGTATCGTTTATCTTCTTATCACTTAAAGTCTGCCTTCACTTAACCTTAGTTTAGCTTTCCACATGCCTACTTTGAAGCATCTGTGCTGTGCATGTGATTTCATGTCAATGATGATTATAAGAGATTGTTGAGTTTTCTGTTCTATGCCTGACTAAGCTTTGAGCTATTTCCTTCGTTTATATGATAAACTCATTTTCTTTTATGTCTTTTTGATCTTTACAAACTTTAAGCTTTTTCTTTGCCCATATATAGGAAGTCCTTGTCCTTTTTACTGTTAAGCCTTTTTCATCAGATGCAAAAGTCTTTTCCCAGTGAGGACACTGTCTCTCTTAAGTTTGGGGGGGACAGTCGTTGTGTCAGTCATTGTTTCAGAAAGATAAAGTGTTATTTATATTTGAAAAATCATGCTATTTTCTTTTGAAAAAGAGTCAGTTGGAAAGAAAGAAAGTGTTGAAAAGCACTTAGCTTAAAAAATAGAAAGAAAAAAAAAGAAAAAAAAAGACAAAAGTTGCAAAAGAGTAGAAAGAGTCTTATTGAGAGAAAATAAGAGTGGGGAAAATACTTGTGTTAGAAAGAAAAGAGTGGTAAAAACAATGAGAGTTAAAGAAAATGTATTTATGATTTCCGAGTCCTACTGTAGACACCCATTTAGTTTTAGGTTGGGTGTTGACTTTGAAAATCGCAGTAAGGATGGTGATAAGTGACTTCGTGTTTCTCATTGTCGTCGTCTTATGACCTAGCTGTTAGTTTCAAAGTCTTTCTACGAGTAGCTGTGGTTGAAACCGATGTTAGTGTGTGGAAACCTCAGGGGCTAGTAGCCGGTCTTTCAGATGTAAAAGTCTCAATGTAAAAATGGAGTGTGCAGATTCCTTAAGGATATTTGAAAACGTTTTCTGTTTTTGAAAGGAAAAAGGATTTTGAAAGAGAAAATTTTTATCATTTCAAACTTGGTTTATACTGACTAAGCTTACAAAGGCAATAGAATGGTAGGCTTTGACATCTTTTCCCTGAGACAATTTATGATTGAACATCTCGGTTGCTTTTGCTTTACCTTGTCCATGTGTTAGAAAGCTGATTAAAGTTGCTAAGTTTTGCTTGAGGACAAGCAAAAAGTTAAGTTTGGGGGTGTGATTACGCTTATTTACATGCGTAAAAAGAAGGTTTTAGATGCTGTTTTTACTATGTTTTAGTTTTGTTCCGGACTTTTCTCGGTCATTAGAGTTCCAATTCATGCAAAATTCATATATGATGGTTTGTGGTTGGCTTATATTATATTTATGACATTTTAGGACCATTTGGGAGTGGAAATTAATCAAAAGAAGCAAAAAGTAGGAAACATCCTCATGGGAGGCGCCAGGCGCCTGGGAAGGCTGCAGAAAACTGTTTTTCTTCCCACTTTGCCCTTAATGAAATGCGTCTTCCAATGCGTTTTGGTGGTTCCAAGCGATGCATACGTGTAAAAGAAGTGTTCCACTATCAGTTTGAGCACGATTTAGTCAGTCAAAGGAGTTGGAAATGGGTGATTCACCATCGTTTTAGGACCTACCTAACCAATTCTGCACAGCTATAAATTCCAGCAGCTTCTCCACCAAATTCATCAAGCCTTGCTTCCTTCTCTTGATCATTTTTAGTGTTTCTTTGTTGCTTTCTAAGTACTTTTGAGTTGCTTTCATTAGTTGCTTTTGATTTTTAAATCCCGAGCACTTTACATTCCTTTATTGAGCTTTGTTTTGTTTTCATTTGTACTTAGTTATTTCTACTTATTCAAATATATAAAAATCCAGCACTTTGCTTATCTTCCCTTTGCCTTTACTTTATTTTTAGTTAACAAAGTTGTGTTTTTGGAGGAAAGAGCACGTGACACTCCCCCTTGCTTGAGAGAGAAGGGCGAAGCTCTCAATCCCGAGAAAAACTCTCTGTTAGTTAACTTTTGTTTTTCACACATGCATTCCACATTCAACTATTTTACTTGTTGTATTTTCTTCAATATGTCTTTCTAAATTCCCGTCTCTAGCCCGGTTATGGATAGTTAGC